GAGTGTTGGGATTATGTTCCCTGTGATTCCTTGGGGTCACCTCCAAGGGAAGCCCAACCACAACCCTTACCTTGTACCCTGTAACTGCAGACTCATCTGCCTTTGCCACCACTGGGTCCCACTTGATGCTCACTGTGGAGCCAGAGAATGTCCAGGAGATGTTCCCAGGTGGCTTTTGTGGTGCTAAGGGAGATAAACAAGACAAAGATTCTATAAGTCAGGGAGTGAGGAGAAGGTTGTGCTGGTTACAACCATCTCCTGGTGCTCTATGACTGTGTCCACAGGGCTGATGTCACCACCAGGGTTGGTTCAAAGGACATTAAACCCTGAGCACAGATCTCAGGTAGGTGATACACAGAGCACAAGAGTGATCTAAGGAGCTTCAGGGAACTGTTTCATGGACTACTTAAAATGGTCTCAGAGCACCAAGATCTACAGGTGATCAGTTGGTGCTCACTGGGTATCATGTGGAGGAAGAAACACCAATATTTAAAAGTGATCAGTTGGTGCTACTGGGGATCCTGTGGAGGAAGAAACACCAGGATCTAAAGGTGATGATTTGGTGCTACTGGGGATCCTGTGGAGGAAGCAGCAGCCCCAGGGAGGAGGAGGAGGAGGAGGAGGAGATGTGAGATGGAGGTACTCAGGGCTCACTCACGTGGCTTGGTGGTGGTGAGGTTGGTGGAGGCACTGGGGGGACCTGTCCCAGCTCTGTTGTAGGCTCGGACTGACACGTGGTACTTGGTGTTGGGGTTCAGACCTGTCACATGAGCTGCTGTGACCAGCCCTGCTGTCCTCACTCTGTCTGCTGCCTCCTCCTTGTCTCCATCCTTCCAGTACCGGATCTGGGCAGAGAAGGATACCATGGGGTCAGTGAGGGTACCACCCACAGCCCCTTTGGGCTTTGCTTCTGTGTACTTAGTGTGTGCCCAGGAATAAGGTTACAGCTCCTGGACAAAGGCAGGCAGGGAGAAAAAGGATGTTTCTCCCTGAATCTCTCCCGTGAGCAGCACTTTGAGCCACGTGGCTGTTGATTATCCTTCATCTTTGGAAACAAAATGCTGTTTCCTTTCACCTCACTTGCCCTAGAGGAGTTTTCTTAGCTGAGCTCTCCCACCCCAGTCCCAGGGTCTCACTCCCATTGCAGGCTCATACCTCATAGCCCAAGAGCACTCCAGTCACATCTTGCTGCTCCACAGGCTCCCAGGACACATCCATTTCCGAGGACAGGACAGACTTGGCTACAACTCTGTAAGGAGCCACTTTGGGTTCTGAAAAACACAGGGAAAGGGAATGAAATGCTTCTCCTGGCTCTGTGCAGCAGCATCACCTGGCTGAAAGGAAGGGCTGTGCAGCACCATCCCCCTGCACCAGGCAGCTGGTGGGAGCAAGGGGAAGGGATTTAGGGACTTAGCAGGACACGCAAGGCCACAGCTGTGTGCTGGGAGGATCTGTGTCTGCTCTGCAGCTCTGGGGGGAGTCATGGTTGGGCTGAGGGAAACGTCTCTGTGTGTTTGAAGGAAGAGATGAATGTGCAGAAATCACTGTCAGCTGTTCTGGGAGGAAAAGGAAGTTCTATCCCTGAGTTCTGGGGCAGACACAGCTCTGCAGGGAGTTGGAGTCTGTAGGGAGTCTGAGGACTCCTTGGTTGGATAAAGGACAGTGAATTCCAAGTCTCTGCAGTCACAGAATCCAGACTGATTTGGGTTGGAAGGGACTTATAGTTGATCTCATTCCACCCCCTGCCATGGGCAGGGACAACTTCCACTAGCTCAGGTTGCTCCAAGGCCCATCCAACCTGTCCTGGAACACTCCCAGGGATGGAGCAGCCACAGCTTCTCTGGGCAACCTGTGCCTCAGCACCTTCACAGGAAGGATTTCTTCCCAGTATCCAATCTAGGCCTGCCCTGTGGCAATGGGAAGCCAATCCCTGTGTCCTGTCCCTCCATCCCTTATCCCAGTCCCTCTGCAACTCTCCTGGAGCCCCTTGAGCCACTGGAAGGGGCTCTAAATTCTCCTTGGAGCTTCTCTCCTCCAGTCTGGACCCCCCCAGCTCTCCCAGCCTGGCTCTTTACCTTCCTCTGCCGAGTACACGATGGCAGTGAGGCTCTCTGGTCCCTCTCCTTTCCTGTTGTAGGCCTTGATCTTGACCTCGAAGGGTGTGTAGGGGCCGATGCTCTCGTTGCGGTAGACGTAGTGCAGCGACTCCGCGTGCGGCACCCGCGCGGTGAGCCAGCCCTGGGAGCCTTTCTTCCGGAAGGACAGGATGTAGCCAAAGCCATCCCCGTTCTGGTAGTCCCTCAGGGTTGGCTGGGAGAGGGTGAGATCACACAGTCACAGAAGATTCATGTTTGGAAGGGCCCCAAGAGGATCGTCGAGTCCAACTCTTGGCCCATCCCCAACAACCCCACCCTGTGTCCAAGTGTGTCTTGAGGTCTGTCAAGGCTGTGACCACTTCTTTGGGGAGCTGTTCTAGTGCCCAAGCAAGGAAGAGAGGGGAGATTTGGTCCCTTGGAACCACCAAGACTTTGGTCCCTTGGAACCACCAAGACTTTGGTCACTTCGAACCACCAAAACTTTGGTCATTCAAACCACCAAGACTTTGGACTAAGCACAATGTTTGCCTCAACCACTCTCCAAATTGTACTTGCAGCACTGATTTCCCCAAAGCAAATGGCCCTTGCTCCTCCCCTTGGCCCTCTCCCAGCACCCACAGCTGCTGCTGTGCCCTCAGCTCACCGTCCAGTTGATGATGAGCTCGTTGGGAGCTCCTCCACCGCCGCCAAGCCCAGATGGTGCCACAGTAGGTGCTGTCAGGTCCCCAAACAAAGCAGAGAGCACAGGTTGGGTTAGGGAGGCAGCAGTGATGGGGATGAGCAGACACATTGTGGCACAGGCTGTGACAGCTCCTGTGGAAGGGCTGCTCTCCAGTTTCAGCCCTGAGACCCAGGAAAATCAGGTCTGGAATACTGGTTTGTGGCTGAGCAGATTGTCTGGGAGCAGGATGTGTCCAGGGGGACAGGGATGAAGCTCAAAACCAGGGATGTGTGTGGGAGTGTGTATTAGAAAGGAGTTAGTTTGCATTTGGTGGGTTGAGATCATTCTCCTGCTGTTCTTACATCCTTCTGCCTGCATGTTCCAGCAGCAGCAGCAGATGGAATGAACACTCCCCAACAAAATTCCCCTTGATTTTGGGAGAATTTCCTCCGTGATACAACAGTGCTTTCCCCTCCCCAGAGATTTGCAGGCAGGATTCATACAGGCTCCCAGTACTGGATGTGATGCTGGTGAGGTCACCTGCCAGTTCTGGTGCTGCTTTGTCTTTGATGTGTAGATGGGCACAGAAGCAGAAAATCAGGGGGGTAGCCTCACCTCCAGGAGCACTCAAGGAGATGATTAATGCTTTGGGATCAAGGCATGCCTCAAGCCTTGCAGCATGAAGGGACAGATACACTCAAGTGAGGGGAATCTGAGGGATCCACACCCACCTGCTTCCTTGGTGCGGATTTTACTGGAGGGCAAACTTGGCTCCCCAACTCCAAGGATGTTACTGGCTAAGACCCGGAACTCATAGTCCATCCAAGGGATGAGGTTCACCACTTGGGCTGTCTCTGCATTGCCTTCGATGTTCACAGGATCTATATCACCCAATAAGAGGAGAGAAGAGCCAATAGAGCGAGTGGCAGCACACAGCAGGAGCTCCTCGGTGCCTGGTGGCCTTTAACCAGCTCAGGCCCTGCCACCACTGGTGCCACTGGGGACACTTACTGGTGCGCATCTGCTTCCACTGGCTGGACAGGAGGGTCCTTGCCTCCACCAGGTACCTGGCGATGGGGCTGTGGTTGTCAAAGCCACGGCTCCAGCTCAGCTGGACACTGGTGTCACTGATGTCTCTCACCACCACACCCCCAGGGGGGCCTGGAGGTCCTGAGGTGATGGGAAACGTGTTAGTGAAGAGGAAAGATTTGGAGGTTTGTTGCTCTTTGTGTTGTGCAAGTCCTAAGTTAACATGAGGCCTTTCTTGTCTAGAAGCTTCTCCTCTAGTTTTAGCCTCCAAAAAGGCTCCTAAACTTATCAAATCTCATTGAATCATCAAGGTTGGAAAATACCTCCAGGAGCATCAAGTCCAACCTTTGAGTGGATACCACCATGGCCACTAAAGCATCTCATGAAGTTCAAATAATGTTGAACTCTATCACCTCTAATGATGGTGAGGTGGTTGGAAGGGAAGAGCAAACGGAGTCCTGGCAAGGATCATGCAGTTCCTTTGGGCTTGGCACCCTTCCCCCAGGGACATTACCTCTGACAGTGAGTGTGGCTGACTCTGAAGCACTGTCCACCACGGTCTGGGCTGTGCAGGTGTATCTCCCTGAGTGTCTCAGCTGTGTGTTGAAGATGCTGAGGTCCCCAATAGCTTCCTTCTGCATGGGGAAGAGAAACAGTGAGGAGAGTGGTTGGACACACCTGGTCTCAGTCCAGCATTCAACACAGTCTGGGTTGGCCTGGCCAGGTTTTGGTAGCAGAGGGTGTAAAAGTGCCATCTGGGAGGAGCTGGGAGAAGGTTCCTCATGTCTGATGGAGCCAGTGCCAGTTGGATCCCAGATGGACCCAGCACTGGCCAAGGCCCAGCTCAGCTCTTGTGCTGAGCCTGTTTTGCACGTGATGGTGATCTCAGTGATCACTGAGTGATCTCTGCCTGCCTTTGTCTGAGCCCATGAGCCTTCCCAATATCCCATCTGTCCCTGACCTCTGTCAGTTGAAGCCATTCCCTATGTCCCATCCCTCCATCCCTTGTCCCAGATCCCTCTGCAGTTCTTTTGGAACCCCTTGAGGCACTGGAAGGGGCTCTAAGGTCTCCCTGGAGCAGCTTTGGTGGGCACCTGATGTCCAGGCAGGCTGAGCTGACCACAAAGAAGCAAACAACAAGGCTGATGTTGACCTTTGTCCCTGGGGAGAGACACTCACCACGCTGGCTCGGCGGTAGTGACCCTCAGACTTGTCAAAGTCAATGGGGAAGTCATCCAGTGACCAGGTGAAGGTGAGGTCCATGGTTGGGTCGTGGGACGCGTGGCACTGCAGAGTGAGGTTTTCACCCACGTTGATGTCAGCACTGGATGGTGCCAGTGTGATCTTGGTGGCATCTGCAGAGAGAGAGAGAGCAGGGAGGACTGTTAGCTCCCCACGTCCAAATCAACCACACTTTCCAGCTCCTCATCCCTCTCTGACCCCTGAGTTTACAGGATGAAGAGGAGGGATTAGTCATTCCAATGGAAATGCTTTCCTCAAGGACCAGTTGTTGGATTTGGTGGGTCAGGCAGAAGGTTTGCTGCTCCATAGCTGATTCCCTGAGTATTGCTTTGTTTTTGGGAAGTATAAGGAGAAGATAAAGATCACATCATTCCTTCTTAGATGTTTCTTGACCCCCCAACCCAAGGCAAACGTCTCTACCTCGCACAGAGAGGATCCCAGTGCTGTTGGCTTTGCCCATGAAGTTCTCAGCAAAGCAGGTGTATTTTCCCTCATCAGATTTGCTGATGTTCTGGATGATCAAGGTCCCATCTGCAGTGATTGTCACCCTGGGAAGGAAGAGGAACCATACAAGGAGAAGGTTAACATGTCTATTCCTTTTTTACACCTGGAAATTTCCAGCACTTGCTGATTTTAGAGGAATTAGGGATAAAGACAGACTGAAAGAGTAATATGTAGGAGTTTTCCAGGGAAGAAATTAGAGGGTTACAAAGTTCAGGGATGTAGCAGCACATTTGAGTCATCAAGTCCAGTCTTCTGGCAAGGAAAAAATGTGGGTTTAGCTATGACTTCTAGGTAGAAGCTGAGTCTGTGCTGCTACCTGCTGCTGTTGATCAGAAGTTCAGTCCCTTTGGTCCAGAGCACAGTGGCTTTTGGTGCTGCTCGAGGCTGGCATGGGATGATGACCTTCCCACTCCGTGCTGCAGGGATCAGTCTCTTCACTGGGTTTAGTCTAAAATCTGGTGCTAAGGCTACAGGGGGGAAAAAGAGGATTAAGGACTGATCAGAACCTCCCGCTCTGGGAGCATCTGCAGTGCTGTGAGACTGGTTTGTTGTTGGATGACTGGGTCAGAGAAGCAAGGCAGTGTCTGGAGAGCAGGATGAAGGTGGTTCCTCTGCTGCTGGGCAGGGGTTGTGTGTCACACCTGCCACAGGGAGCGATGGGAATGACCCTAACAAGTGCAAGGTCTTTGAGAGACACAAGAACAGCTGCTTTGGAGAATCTAGAGGATATTCTTTCTAATATCCTGACCAAAGTCAGACATCCAGCTGGCATAAAGCTCCTCCTGGAATTGGGAGAGAATTGGGATTTATCTTTTGGCCTCAGTGTGTTGAGCAGGTGATGCTCAAGGCCTTTCATTGACCTCTGGAATCTCCTGACTACGAGGAGAGAAACTTTTAATGTGGAACAAGTTTGGTATGAGTTCAGCTCCAGTCAGCATCCTCCAAAGGAGGCTGAAGGAATGCTGAACTCCTTTTTTATGGACCTCTTGCCTCCAAACAAGAGGAGTTTGTAGTGGAGGAGAGCTCGGAGTGCTGCTGCTGGGTGACACTTTCTGTGGCTCAACAGATGTCCTTGTTCTCTTTGAGCATTACTGAATTGACACAGGATTTCATTTTTGAAGGGTTGTGGAGTGTCTGTTGAACCAACAGCTACATTTCAATGGTGAGTGAAGCAGTTTTGCTCTGCTCTTGTCTCACTCTGAGATCGCAGGAGGTTAGGAAGAGATCTGAAATGCTTCAGTGTCCCATTGAAACCCTGAGCTCTGGGGAATGAGAGATTACCTTGCACTGTTAATTCAGCACTTGCATATACTGTGCCATGCTTGTTCTCAGCCACACACTGATACATGCCAGAGTCCTCCAGGACTAGCTTGGAAAATCTCAGCTCTCCACCGCTCACTTCGATGCGGTTCTGTGCAAACAAGAGGATCAACCCGTTAGATGAGAAGAACAGAAGGTGAACTCAATCCTCAGGTGCTCAGGGTTGAGTTTCCTTACAGACTCTTTAGAGCCAGCCTGGTTTTCCATGGGAGAAAACCCAGGATCTGCTTTTAGGCCTGTGCAGTCACCACCCCAGGTCAGTGCTCTGTTTGCTGAGACTGCTGAGTGCCCGAGCAGCAACGTGCAGGTCATACAAACACAGGTCCCAGGTGCTGCTTAGCCACCCTGGGAACAGGCTCCGAGTCCCTGTAGTTGCATGAGGCAATGGCTTGGGATGGCAGTGCCAGGAGAGGGAACTTGGGGTCATGGCATTGCTTTGCAGCCTCATGGGGGCACATGGAACAGGGATGCAGGGTGAGAAAAGGGGCTGAGATGCACTTGCAGCAAGGCAGGAGAAGGGGCTGGGCTGGAGGAGCAGGGGCAGGGCTGCAGGGGAGGGGTGGCTGTCCCAGCTGGGTGCTGGCACCTGGGATGGGAGTGTTCCCTGGGATGTGAGTGGTCCCTGGGATGTGAATGGTCCCTGGGATGTGAGTGTTCCCTGGGACATGGGTGTTACCTGGGATGTGAATGGTACCTGGGACATACCTGGGGTGTGAGTGGTCCCTGGGATGTGAGTGGTCCCTGGGATGTGAGTGGTCCCTGGGATGTGAGTGTTCCCTGGGATGTGGGTCGCCCCTGGGACATACCTGGGAGGTGAGTGGTCCCTGGGCTGGAGTGGTCCATGGGACATACCTGAGATGTGAGTGTTCCCTGGGATTGGTGTGGTCCCTGGGCTGTATCTGGGAAGTGAGTGTTCCCTGGGAGGTGAGATGTCCCTGGTCTGTGGTGGTCCCTGGGCTGTGGGTGTTCCTGGGCTGTGGTGTTCCCTGGGCTGTGGGGATCCTGGGCTGTACCTGGGAGGTGAGTATTCCCTGGGCTGTACCTGGGAGGTGAGGGGCTGTCCATCCCGGAGCCATTGCACGCTGGGCCGTGGTTTGCCAGCAGCAGCACAGCTCCAGCGCAGGTCAGAGCCGATGTCAGCCTCGGTGTCTGTCATCACCTGCAGCCACTCGGGCTGGGCTGCAGCAGAGAGAGGGGCTCAGCTCAGAGCTGTGGGGCCAGGCAGGCTGTGCCACGGCTGCTGACTCTGTGTTCTGCCACGGGAACAGCTTTGCCTGCTGGGATGACCTTAAAGATGATCCCATCCCACCCCCTGCCATGGGCAGGGACATCTCCCACCAGCCCAGGTTGCACCAAGCCCTATCCAACCTGGCCTGGAACACTTCCAGAGATCAGGAATCCACCACCTCTCTGGGCAACCTCTGCTAGCACTTCTGCACTCTTATAGTAAAGAATTTCCTCCTAATATCTAATCTAAACTTTCCCTCCTTCAGTTTAAGGCCATTCCTGGACTTCAGGAAAGGTTGGATTCAGACTAAGGCAACCAGATTAAGTTTTTTGTACCTTGACTAGATCTGATTAATAGCTCCAAGCATTAACTCTTGTGGAAGTCCCTCAAGCATGGAAAGGAGCTTGAGTGAGAGCCAGGTTTGATTTTTACCACACTCCTTCCTTCCTTCCTTCCTTCCTTCCTTCCCTGGTTACCTCATTCTGTCTGGAATTCTTTCAGAGCAAGTTAGGAGGTTGCTCTCTACTTGCCATAACCTAATTGTATCCACTGAGGAAAGGTATCCCTGACCTCTGCAGGTCTCACAGAGACCTTAACAAAGGGCTTTGCAACAGGTTTAATTAGGGCTGGTTAGAAGCAGGATTTTCCTTCCTTCCTTCCTTCCTTCCCTGGTTACCTCATTCTGTCTGGAATTCTTTCAGAGCAAGTTAGGAGGTTGCTCTCTACTTGCCATAACCTAATTGTATCCACTGAGGAAAGGTATCCCTGACCTCTGCAGGTCTCACAGAGACCTTAACAAAGGGCTTTGCAACAGGTTTAATTAGGGCTGGTTAGAAGCAGGATTAGACGTGGTGAGTTTGCTCCCAAAGGCTCAGTCCATTCCTCTGGGGCTCCTTGGGAAGGCACATGTTATATGTGCTCCCTTGGGTGAAAGACACATGTTAAATGTGCTCCCTTGGGTGAAAGACTCGTGTTAAATGTGCTCCCTGGGGTGAAAGACACGTTACGTGTGTCACCTTGGATGATGATGCGTCCCTGGTAGGTGTCTCTCCCTTTGCTGTTCTCAGCCTCACACTCATAGGTGCCTTCATCCTCAAAGCCAACATCCTGGATCTGCAGGAGGGGCTCACTGCCAATCCACTTGGAGGCCTGGGAGCCATCCAGCTTCCTCCACTTGATCCGAGGGACAGGGCTGTGCAAAAAGAGATCTGGTCAATCTGTGCCACATCACAGCGTGGACTAACTCAGTCCCCACTGGGTCCTGGCCCAGCTGGGCCTTGGCCAGCAGCACAGATGGCTTTATTCCATGCCTCTCCATCTCTGCTCTTCACCAGGGAGGAGTGTGAAAGCTGCAGGTTGTGCCATTCCCTCCCTGCCCCAAGCCCAACACTCACTTTCCAAAGGCAAAGCACTCCAGGGTCACCACCTGCCCGGTCAGGGCGTAGGTATCTGCAGGGAACCTGGCCTTGATGCTGGGGGCATACTGCCTGGCATCTGTCAGGAGGGAAGCACAGGTGAGGAGTCCTGGATGGCCTCAAAATGCCACACACGAGGTGACACAACTCTCCCAAACCTTCGTGTGTTTGGGTGAGGTGACAGAACTTTTCGTTTGCTTTTGGAAACAGCTCTTGCTAAAGCCTCCAAAAGTCTCTTTATGCCATCTCAGGGCTATTTCTCCTTAGTTCAGAGAATTATGGAATGCTTTGGGTTGGAAGGACCTTCAACTTATTGAATTCCATGCCCTGCCATGAGCAGGGACACCTTCCACTAGCCTAGATGCTCCAAGCTTCATCCATCCAGTTCCTCCTCCTTCCATGGGCAGGGACACCTTCCACCAGCCCAGTTTGCTCCAAGCCCTATCCATCCAGTCCTTCCCACCTGCTTCACTCCCCTTGCCCTGCCCCAGGAGCATCTTTTACCAACAGAGAAGCCCCAGGACTGAGGTTTGGAGCTGCACAACCAGGGAATCCTGGAGAACAAGCTGCTTCCCCCCCATTCCAGCCAATCCATATCTCTATAAGCTCCTGAGAGGCTGTGGGTGATTTCTTTGCACTGTGGAGCCCAAATGCTTCACAGTGGCTGATTAACTTTGCCTTTTCCCCGTGCTAATTGCCATGGTTGTGATGAGCCACGAGCACTGACCCTCTGCAGAGAGGCTGAGGCGAGAGAACTTGCTGAACACACTCTTGGTGATGAAGTCGATGTGGCTGGTGGCAAAGCAGGAGTAGTTCCCCAGGTCAGATGCCTCAGTCTTGGCTATGTAAAGGTTCCCTGTGGTCTGGGAGATGAAACGTCTGCCATCAGCTGGGATGAAGTTGGGGAACTCATTCAGGAGCCAGCGGTAGGATAGGCCTGGGGGGAGAGGAGAAGGAGCTGCACAGGGTCTGTGTCCTCCCAGGTGGAATAAATCCAGTAGCTCAGTCCTAGCTGGAGTTGTATGCAAGTTGATCCTTGTATGGCTACACTAAGTCCTCTCTCTGCTTTGTGGCTTTACAGAGCCTGAATTCAACCCAAACTTCCTGCCCTAAAATTCCACAAGGAACACCAGGAGTGATGCACATGCTGTGGCTTTACAGAGCCTGAATTCAACCCAAACTTCCTGCCCTAAAATTCCACAAGGAACACCAGGAGTGATGCACATGCCTGGGAATCCCTTGGCCTGTTGGATTTCTGTGGTGCTGAGGTGCAGAGCCTTACCTGGGTAGTGAGGGGGAGGGCTGCAGGCAAACATCACCCCCCAGCCCTCGGTGATCTTCACAGGGTCCCTCTCCTCTGCAGAGAATTCCTGCAAAACTGAACAGGCAAAGTGAAACCTGGACAGGGAAAACATTCTAGGAATCACTGTTTCATCTGCCCCTCCACAGCCTGAGGCTTCTCAGTGTTTGGACAGAGAGCTCAACATATCCCTGACTCTCTCCATGGAGCATCACATTTTTACCACACCTTTATGGGTGTTTCAGGGTTTTTTTCCAAGGGATAATGTTGGGTGCCATGCCCAGGAGAGCTGCTCTCCAACCTTTGGGAGCTCAGCTGACTCCCCAACATAGCTGTGGCTGCATTTCCTTTACCTTGTGGAGACAAACTTACAGCCAAAGCGGAGAGAGGCTTCCCTGCTGACCACAGTCCCTCTGGAATTCGATGCCACACACTGGTAGGATCCAGAGTCCTTGGCTTTCACAGGATTGCTGATCACCAGGTCACCTGCAACCAGCCTGTAGCGGGAGTCAGGCTCCATCTTCAGCTCTGTGCCATTCATCTTCCACCTGCCGAGGGCAAGGCCAGGGCTGAGAGGGAGATCCTCGTGGGGCCTCACAGGAGGCTCAGCTTGGTGGTTTTCCAGCTGGGATTTGAGTTAGACTTATATCCAGGCTGTGCCCTGGGAGATATGGCACATCACAGAGGCTGGAAAAGACCTCCAGGACCATCAAGTTTAACCTGTGACCATCCCCACCTTGTCAGCTAGAGCAGAGCACTGAGTGCCATGATCAGTCATTCCTTGGACACCTCCAGGGATGGTGACTCCACCACATTCCAATGCCTGACAGCCCTTTCCATGGGGAAATTCCTCCTGGTGTTCAACCTGAACCTCCCCTGGCACAGCTTGAGGCTGTTCCCTCTTGTTCCCTGGGAGCAGAGCCTGACCCCACCTGGCTGCACCTCCTGGCAGAAGTTGTGGACAGCAGAAGGTCCCTCTGAGCCTCCTTTTCTCCAGGCTGAGCTCCCCCAGCTCCTCCTTATAGGAGTTACATCACATGAGGGTGAGGAAGCTCATTCCCATGTTAATGATGTTCTAGACATACCAGTGGAGAGCAGAAAGCATAGTTGTGGCTGCTGTTCCCCCAGTGCTGGCACAGAGGGAGAGCAGCTGAGCTCACCTGTAGGTTGCAGGAGGATTTGCTCGTGCTCTGCAAGTCAAGGTGACCTTCTCTTCTGCTGAGCCTTCAGGGAAGAGGGTGTGGGCAGGCTGCTCCTCAAACACTGGCCCATAGCTCCTCGTGCTGCTCTGGGCCTGGCACCAAACTGCAGGAGAGAGGGAAAACCTCCCTCAGCTCCTTCTCAAAACTCCTCTTTTCAGTTTTGTAGGGAGTTCCTGGCAGCATCAGGATGGATCCAGGAGAACAGGAGCAACGTGGAAGTCAGAAACCCATCTGTGACCTCAGCCCAGCCCAGCCCTGAGCACATAACCTGCACCTCCCACCGAGCATCCCACACCACCCCTGCCCTGCCAGAGGGACCAGCAGCCTTGGAGACATGTGGATGGAGGAGCATGGACACACAGCTCTTGGAAAGCACAGCCAAGGCTGGAGCTGGGAATCCCTGGCTGCCCTCCTTGCCCCTGGCAGTGAGGATGTGCTGGTTCCTCCTAAGTCCTCTCCAGGACAAGAGAGGAAAACCAGGATCTTCGTGGCTCTGAACACACCTGGCAGTTCTTCTCTGTCCCTTCCTCTGCAGCATTCCCAGCTCTGATAGCTCAAACCAGCTGCTGGTGTGCAGACCAGCTCAAACCATGGTGTTCCATGGCTGGGTTGAGCCTTTAGCTGCTTTGGTAGTGCTCAGATGTGGGTTTGACTCTGATCTTGCTGTGGTGAGGCACAAGAGGAACATAAGGACCTTGGTGCCTTCTCCCATCCTTGTTCCCAGTGCCCTGTGGTGATGATGTGTCACTGGGAAGTCTTAAGTGAGGATCAATCAGAACCACTGAGTGACTCATGTCTGAGAGAAATGGTAAGTTCTGGAGTTCCACACAGGCTGCATGGAATTCACACAATCCCAGGCTGGTTTGGGTTGGAAGGAACCTTAAAGCTCATCCAGTTCCACCCCCTGCCACGGGCAGGGACACCTTCCTCCAGCCCAGGTTGCTCCATGCCCCATCCAGCCTGGCCTGGAAGTGACACTGTAAATTAGAGCACAGCAGAAGCTGCCTGGAAATGACCAGCAGTGGGATAATGGGTCTGTCCTCTCCTTGGCAGCTGGGAAAATGGGATGGAGCCACCAGCACAGTCTTCTCTGCACTGCTCAGCTCCAAGATGCTCCTGGAGCTCCAGGAGCCTTCCATGCTTTGTAATTGAATTAATCAGTGTCTCAAACCCTCCAAGCCAAGCAGCAATCTGTCTCCTTCCCTCCACCTCTCAGCATGGTCACTCTTTAAATGAAGTGCCTCCAGTAAGGGTGATGTTTTATGCAAGAGTAACTTCCAGCAGGGAATGGCCAGCTCAGCTCTCTGGGATGGAGGGAAACAACCCTTTACCTGTAGCTCCTGGGGTTTGCCTCATGTTCTGGCTGCTCTCCCATGCAGGGCTGGGGGAGGATGGGACAGGAGCTCTGCTAATTGGCTCTGTGGGTTCTGAGCAGCTGTTGGCTGCTCCAAATGTCCAAGCAATTAATCCCAATGCTTGGGCTGTGCTGCTGCAAGGATTCTGCACACAGGAGCCTGATGGGCCCTGGTGTCAGACAGGAACAGGCTCTGAGCCTGGGGCTGATGCTTTGCAATAAAACTCCAAAGGTTTGGAGGGTTGTTTGCCCTCCAAGTCAATGCCATTTCCCTTCTGTTCCCAAAGGAAAAGCTTGGGGAAGCTGGAAATCAACTCCCATTTTGGGTCAGCAGTGGCTGTGCTGAGCAAGTCCCAGCTGGAAACAACTCTGCTGCCCAGCAGGGAAAAAGAGTTGGGAGTTAATGGGGAAGTCATAAGGAAGTGTTAATTGTGTCCTGGGAGAGGTTAGTGACTGGATTGAGGGCTGAGCTTTCCAGTTGGGGGTGAGCAGGGAACATATAGCAAAGAATTTCTATTTATTTAATAAAATGTCTATTGTTGCCACTGCCTTTGCTCTTGGGATGTCTTTCCCAAGGACTCTCAGCAACTCTCCTGACTCCCCCTGGACTCTGTGTCCCATTGCTGTCCCTTTTCTTCTGCCAAGGTTAGGGACTAACTGTCAGGAATTGATTTTCCCTGATGGAATCGATGCCTGGAGTTCAGGTGAGGTTTTATCTCCAGTTCCAAGGTGTCTGGTTGGGGGGGAAGTGCCTGAATCTCACTCATTAAACACAACAACAGCCATAATTAACAGTTATAAGTTGGAGATAGGGTTAGAAGGAAGAATGGAGAGTAAATCAGGATGGGAAAGCTCAGACCCTCTGAGCCTGGTCTGGGTCACTTCTGGCACCCCAGAACTCTCATTTATAATGTTCCCAACACAGGTTCCAACCTCGGGCTCTGACATTTGGATTGAGGAGAAGACAGACACAAAAGTCTTCCAGCCAAATCTGCAAGGAACAGAGTGACCTGCTCAGGATTT